ACATTCTGTTAACAAATACTACAGTCTGCAGTGTAGAGCACACTTTACTCTGGTAAATGAAGTTACAATAGAACAGGTGTTTAAGTGTCTGTCTGTTCTATCTTTCTCCTCTGTGCGTAATGACACACTCACTCAATCTTGCTCGCACGTCCGCTATGACCTATTTCTACCTATAAGGTCGTTGCATTTTGTAGTTATTAAAAGAATAATCATCTAAAATTCCAACATATAGGGAAACATCTAGTTATTCTGCTCTGTCCTGGATGATCAAACGTCTTTGGTTTAACGGAGTAAAGCGGCAATCGCGAAGTGAAAGTCCTTTTTCTGTGGATTAAAAAGACAATTTGAACTGAACTTTCGGAGATCATGTTGCATATTTCGTTTGTTTGGGACTTTTTGTTCATTGTGAATTCATAGGGGGGGTAATTAAAGGGATATTTTTGTTAGGGTAGCAGCGTATGGATCAACAACGGACGCATTTCAGCACAGAGCCTTTATCAGCGCTTTGTTTGTCGTCTATTTTCTTTTTGCGCTCGTGCTCCTTTTCTTCTGTTTTGAATTAGGCCGATCCTAGAACCCACAATGCAACAAGAAACATATACAAAAATGTGGGCTACAAAACAATTATCGATTAAATTTTTTTGTAACCGATTATTATTTAATGAACAAGTACTCGGGTACCCGAGTACTCGTTTGCACCCCTACTGCTTAACACTGATTGATTATGGTTAAAATCACATTCAATGAATATGTCGAAGGCTACTAGAGTGCACTGTAAGAGGTATACCACTAGATATTAGCAAACAAATGATTATGAAATTCTAAATGTTCATACAAGAAAAGGTACCAAAGGTTCCCTCGGACATAACTGTGTGGTCATTATTATGACTAAGTAAGATGTTTAATTTGTATGGTTACCAACACACCACATGACGTGTCCCCCCACAGACAGCAGATCAGCAGTACCAGGACGCCTTTAATGACGAGCTGGAGTCCTTCAAGGAACGGGTTCGGGGCAGAGCGAAGATCCGCATAGAAAAGGCCATGAAGGAATATGAAGAAGAGGAGCGACAAAAACGTATAGGACCCGGGGGATTAGATCCTGTTGAAGTGTACGAGACCCTGCCAGCTGTAAGTCTTTTTTGTTTGATGGAGCTCATGTCACTTTTCTTTCTTGCGCTATTTTTATTTTCAAATGCTTTACAAATGTGTTCTCGTTGTAGGAGATGCAGAAATGCTTCGATGAAAAGGACATTGGAATGTTACAAGAAGTGATTAGTAAAATGGACCCCACGGTAGGTTCCTTTTGCTAATTTAATTTTACAAGAATGTGTTTAATTTTACACATTGTGTCAACACTTAAAGTGTACTGGGAATAGTATTTTGGTTGTCTGATTCGTATATGAATGTTTGTCCTTCTCTGGTTCTGTTAATAAACGTGATTATTTTACACCCAATAGGAGGCAAAGGTTCACATGAAGAAGTGCATAGACTCGGGTCTCTGGGTTCCCAACTCCAAGACGGACGGTGGGGATGAAAAAGAGGACGATGCTACCTATGAGGAGGTGAAACAGGAGCAGGAAGAAACTGAGAAGGAATGACCATCATTGATCCTATAAATTTAAATTGCTTCTTCAAATGTACTTTCCCACTGTATTGCAATTTCACCCTGTGTGACTAGTTTACCAATTAAGGAACAATGAAATAACTTCTCTGAAGTATTTAGTGGAGGCTTCAGGGTTTAGTGTTCACCAACTGCACAAGTACGTCCCATCAAGAAATGCTATTTGGATGAAATGGGTGTTTTTAGGTGTTTGATTTGTTTGGACATCACTAAAGGTGCATCTTAACATTTAATTTGTACACACCTGTTAATTTGCTTTGGAGTTCATGTGCACACATACCTGCTGGCTTCATTTGCGCTATTGTTTAGTTGAAATACATTCTATACATTGTCAGATTGTGCATATCATTTTTCTTTTTTTATTTCCAAATTGAAGGCTTGTGTTTGACTTTGAGGGATTCATGTATTAAGATGGTTATTTCCTGAACATTTTCTACAAACTTGCTCGACTAAAAGTTGAATAATATCCAATAACTGACGATCAAAGTACTGTGGTAATGTCTTTATACTCGCTGTGTTGGTGTCAATCCACACAAATCATCAGATAAGAGGTCTAATGTGTGAGGTATAAGAGAATCAAAAGAAGAAAGATATCTATGATAGAGCAAGTGCACATGTTCATGGGTTTTCTAATGAAGCAGTTGGTCAATGAAAGTGTGACTCAGACTATGTTGACTGTGCCTCCACTGCACTCTGATATAAATATGATCTCCATTGCTTTAAAAAAAAAACAGCAAACAAGCAGATGTAAACTCAAAATGAACATTTTTTGTTAAAAGAATTTGGCATGCAACCCGATAGGCCTTGTTATAACTTCTTTCTGATATACATGAATGGTCTTGATAAACATTGATTATGTTAATATGACGTATTGTTCGGGGGTTTAGTCTTTATATTGCCATTGCACGCCTCCTCAATTTTAAAATGTTCCACCAAAACAAGTTTCCTGCCTACACGACTAAGCAAGGACCCCAACGCTGCATCCTGAGTTCAGCATCACCTAAAAGGTTTGTGATTGTTCCAAAGAAATAGTGAACAACTGACAAGTTTTTTTTTGGTTTTTTTTACATTAAGTGAAATTAAAATAGGTTTTGTCATTTTTTGGCTAATTTTCTGGCGATGAGATTTAGTTATAAAATCAATTATAATGCATTTTCTCAATTTGACTGAAATAATTTAGGATGCAGCAGTCATTGTTTACATGGTTGTATTTGCCTTGTTTGTTGCTTTCCATAACAACTTGCAAACCAGACCTGAGGCCTGTCGACTGGTGGCTTGTGCCCTTAAAGTGACAAGATTCAAGAATCACTTGATTTGTCCCACAAGGTGCTACAATCTGTCATGGGCTCTTCAACCAGGCTGCAGCCCACATTCCTCATCCACATAAATCATTCAATATTATTAAAAGATGTCTGTAAACAAAGATAAATACCATCACTCTTAAAATACCAGTGCAAAACACAAAGCCAAATCAGAGTCCAGGGTCATCCTGCCTTATTAGCCACTATTTAAACATTTTACAGACGGGGATAGATGCATTTTTAAACTAGTTCAGTATACAACCACTAACACTCAACCATGGCAGCAGCTATCTCTGTAGAAACTGGGTTACTGACAATCTTATTGGCTTGCCTGACAGTGGCCTGTTCAAATAGTCTGCATGGATGTGTGATGTTTACCTCCAGTCATTTCCTGTGCAGTCTGAATCAATGGGATCAGTTAAGTTTGTACCTACACAGACATGTTGGCAAACCATCCTGTGATACCATACCTCTGATAAGGCTCTCTAGACTGCCTGATAGAACAAACATAAACTTCTGGTCAACGCCATCAACTCTCAGATGAGGTAAGACATGTAACACTGTGTGTTACAGGTCAATAGAAATGCCAGGATATTAATATAAGGACACCTTCGTGATAGTTTGGTTGTGGATGACCACAGGCCCCCCCGGGGTCAAGCACAATCACCTCTGTCTTATTGACATTCAGGAAAATGGTCATCCTCACACAAGTTCACAAACTTTTGAATCTCTAAAAAGTACTCTGATATGTAACAGCTCTCTTCCATTAGGGATAAAAGTGCAGTGGAGCCTGAGAATTTGATTATGGGTGGTTAGAATTAGAGATTCTGCACTTATCAGTATATAAAGGGAAAAGAGTCTGAATTTTCACAGCCCTGGGTGACAATGGTGAACATACCACATCCCACAACTGAGGTCAATGAGGTCTCTATGCAAGTCCAAAGAGTGGACATTTAAAATTCAGCCTTAGCCTCAAGTGACTTCTGGTGTGAAAAACAGATAAGAGATATAAGCCAATACTTTCTCATCTGCTTGCAGGTCTGACAGACGAATTGTGACACACAATAAAGTCCAATTTGAGACATGAATACTAACACATAGTCATAGAATAGTTGATAAGATTGGATTTTAGCTCTTGTATCTGGCACCTATTGCTCTTAAAACAGACTTTTGTCCTGCATGCAACCAAATCCTGCTCCAACCTGCCTGTTCAAAAGAAGTCAGAACAAACAGGAAAAAGTAAGCAGAATAAAGTTAATAATGCCTAAAAATATGAACATATTAACATACACAATAGAGTCCCATGATGACCCTGATAGGCCTAAGACCAAGGGGTGATTGAAGCCTTTCATGAACGCTACTTATTCCCTCCGTAATCTAATTAGAAACCTTATTAAGCGACTTACAGAGTCTGTGCAGGCCTTAACAGTGATTTCTCTCCAGGCTGCCATAAGGCGATAAGGCACATGACCCAAGTGTGTTTCTAAGCTTTATTTTGAAAGTTAACGTGCTGAACAAGAAGAGAAACAGTTTACAAACGCAGGAGTCGATTTTTTTTTAAATAGACAACAGGACACACCATGTACTGCTTAAAAATAAACTTATTCCCAAAGCTTTTAGTCTGATATACTTGATGAAGGACTTGCCCTTCTCACTTTCAAAGTCTTTCAACACAAGTGTTTGGACAGTATTTCACTTTCGGGACACAGAAGATAAGTTAGCCTACATGTCAATCTGTGCCATGAATGGTAGCCTACATGATGGAGGTTGAGATGTTCTCATTTTAACTCATGTAAAATAAGAAACATGAGGGATTAATGATCCTATATTTTAAACTTTACTATTTAGGCCTACACCACAACTTTAAGTGTAAGCTTTCTACGTATTGCCTACTTGTCTGTTTTTAATTGTATAATAGAATATCCTGAAGCGCTTAATACTCGGAGTGGGAGATATTAACCGCAAAAAAACAATGTATCGATTTAATTTGGAGACGTCCTCTGACGTTTACTTTGAAAGGCCAACGGTGTACGTGCTCGCTGCTGGACGTAAGAGGGAGTAACCGTCCATGTTGGTGTCGGGTCTGCCTCTTCTCTCTCACGCAGTTGAAGAGAAACTGGGCGCGTAGGCGAAGGGGAAATACGCACTCCAGATAATGAAAGGAAGACCGACTGTGAGAAACTCTTCGTGTTTTCTCGGTCTCCATGTAATAACTCGAAAAGCCCGCCGCTAAACGGTAAGGTACCTTGCTAAGTCATTTACGGATATGCCTTTAATATTGTTTATTTGTTTCCTTGTCATGGCATCCGGTTCACTGTGAAATTTACGAGGAATTATATTTCTGGGTCAGTCGATGACGTAATCACGTGTTTTATTCACAATTATTTACATAAAATAGTGTGTCCGTTTGAAGGATAAACAGTGCAGTGAATGTAAACAAACAACTTGACATGTAAACCCCGGAAGCCAATCCTACTAGGCTACATGATAAGATAACGCGACTTCATATTTTAATTGAACGTGCGTCTTTTGTCACAATATGTAATTTACCAGCTTAGTGGTTTTGTTTTCATATTAATTTGATATTAGAAAAGCACAAGATGTTGCTTTAAAAATAGATGTTACCTTACCTTTGATTTTATGTAGCACAGGACTTGATAGGTATGTGATGCTTGCCATTGCAACAGCTGATCAACAGTCGTATACATTGATGTGTGTGTGTGTGTGTGTGTGGCAGTTATTTGGCTGTTCACACCATGTCTAGGAATGGTTGGTCCAAGCATTCAAGGCCAGGGACACATCTGGGCCCGAGTGAGCCTCTCCTGGGACAGGGCATCCATGTACTCCTTTTCTGGACAAAGGAAGGGGAAAGGTATCTGTTCCACAACAGTGGAGAAGTCACAGCAGAACAGCTGTGCATCTCAGCTGCAGAGGCTGTAGGTGAGACTGACCTTGACCAAATAGATCCACACAAACCAACGCAATGTTTGAAGTCCATTTCATGTGTTATTATAGCCTGCTTTTGGCATGTGTGTGTATATAACCTCAGTGTTTACCCCACAGGGATAACTCCTCTGTGCCATGTGTTGTTTGCTCTTTACAATCCACAATCATGCTGCTGGTACAGTCCAAACCATGTTTTCAGTCCAGAGGACAACTCCAGCCTAGTACTTCATTACTGTATGAGGTAAGTCAGTTTTGTATTAACACTGGATGCTGTGATGATTTGCCCTCAAACTAAACTAAGAATAAAAGTGACTTAAAAGGCGAGACCCACTGGCACAGCTTAATCTACCTCTAACGACAATGTGTCCAAGGTCTTTTTATTAACGTGAATAACATTTCCTTCGGTTAATTTGACATTTTCAGCAAGTAAATAAGAAAAGAACAATGTTTTTTGCAGCCCTTCTTTCCTCTGTCAAAATACAACAGCTATTCCCTTTGGTTGCTTGTCCAATACCTGCCTGCTCACGTAGATCCAGCTGGTGAGCCCACGGCCCCCGGTACCTTCTTAACAAAAGCATTAAAAGAACCCTAGTTTGCTTCAAAGGAAATGATGAATACATTAAACTTATATTTCAGTTTTTCTCCAAGACAAAATAAAGAAGGTTTAGTTTTGAATATTATGACATTTTTCAGGCAGATGGACCACTCCAAGCTTTTTACATGTGTTGTCTGTTTTCCTTTTGCCTAGGTTTTACTTTCGGAATTGGCACGGACTGAATGAGAAGGAGCCCAATATATGTCGTTATGCCCTTAAATCTGGAACAGACCAGGGGGGCTCTCCACTGCTCGAAATCCCCTCCTTAGAGTACCTCTTCTCTCAGGTGTGTGTCCATATTTATGTGTATCATATTGAACGTTTATTTATTGAATGCATGTAAAAGTTAATGACCTAACACTATCCGCTTCTTGTGTCTCCAAAAGGCTAAATATGAATTTGTGAACGAAGTGGTGCCGATGGAAGATGTGAAGTCGGAAGAGGAGATAAGTCGCTTCAAAAACGAGAGTTTGGGGATGGCTGTACTTCACCTCTCACACCAGGCAATGCAAACAGGCTGCAGCTTACAGGAAGTTGCAAAAAACACAAGGTAAGTGTTTTTAAAGTCTTTGTATGTGATTTTTCACCCTTAAATGTATAAATCAAGTATATCCTCTGAAAATATGACTGTCTACAATGGGTGTACCCGAGTCCCACTGTCTGTGATGTTTTCAGAGTTTTCAGAGTCCTATCTTCAGTTTGTTTACATCGTCCGGACAGCGGCTGACTCCTCCCCTCGTGTATAAAAGTTGATTAATTGAGGGACTAGAGAAAAGAAGAACAACATACTGTACTCACTGCTTAACTGTGTTTCTAGATCACGCTCATTTCAGGTAAATTTACATGCAGTGTGAAGATACGAGCATAATAAAGATCGCTAGCATTAGCATGCTAACACAACAATGCAGCGCGAGTTGTTTTGGTTTCATGCTGGTGCTCAAGGGCGACATCTGCTGGATCAAAAAATCACATATAAAGCCTTTAAGGGAGTGAACATGGCACATAGAGCATGTGCTTTGAACCTTTTTTTCTACAAAGTTGTACGTACAGTTAAAACTATATATTAATAACAGCTAACTCCTCTCAATTTATTTACAAAGATTATACATTTTCTGGATTGATTATTATTTACTGGAGTTGTGTTTAATTAGCCTATTAGATTGATTGGTTAACATTTTCTTTATCCTATTTTTGCTACAGTTTTATTCCAGTTTCTCCTCTGGATCATCCAAGCTTATTTAGTATTACCTTATTTAAGGATCCTGGTTTGCTTTTGGTTTTGTTTTTTTTATTTTTCAGCTTTCTGCGCTGCATTCCAAGGTCCTTTGCGAAACACATATCAAAAGACAACTTCTTGACAAAAATCCGGATTCGGCGGGTGTTTGCAGAGTTTGTACAGACTTTCCAGCAGCACACTGTGGATAAAGGCCGGCTGGGCGCCCAGGAGATCATGTATAAATACATTTCTACTCTTGAACACTTGGCGCCACAGTTCGGCACAGAGACCTTCCCTGTGTGCAACCTGGAACTGAGAGAGGAAGGGGATGGAAGCAGTTCTTACGCTAACACCACCCATGCTCAGGGTGTCACAAAAGACAACTTCACAGCTCCCACCACACATGAAATAAATGTATCAGGCACCAAAGGGATACAGTGGAGGAAGGTGTCCGGACAAAAGGTTGTTAAAAAAAAGACTACTTTTGATCTTCTTATGGCATAATTTTGTGGCATGCCTTTGTCTTCTGCCGATGAAGTCATTTTGTCAAATCTGTCTCTCTACCTAGGCACAGGCAAACTCTTACCTCAGGAATGACTCTGCAAACTACATGAGGAAAACAAAGCAGCAGTCCAGCCCAACAGAACAGAATGCAAACACTCCCAATAAATGGACATCCTTTTGTGATTTCCCAGAAATAACTCACATAGCCATTGCTGGAGCTAATGTATGCATTAGCACTCAGGACAACCACTGCTTGGTGAGAGTGCTTGTTTATCCTTTGAACTAAAAGCCGCAGTACATACATTTAATTGGTAAATGTGCTTGTAATGGATTAGGGCAATTGATATGGTGGAATGAGTGATGTACAGTATGTTTGAAGTGCCTGAATGTACTGTACAGAGGGCATATATGCCTAGATTCTCATATGCGCTCCCATTCTATATGTTCATCTTTATAAAGGCTTTGCACATTATATTTTGAATTTGCATGTATCTGTAGGTGGGAGCTCTGATTGTAAGCTAGTGGTGTTTGTGTGTGTGTATGTAGGAGGCTCAGATGAACTCCAGCCAGGAGGCCCGTTCCTTCATCTCCCTCCTAGATGGATACTACCGGCTGACTGCAGACGCCCACCACTATCTTTGTCATGAAGTGGCTCCCCCAAGGGTAGTGCTGAGTGAAGCAAATGGACTGCACGGACCTCTGCAGTGAGTTTTCTCCTCTTTACACATGCACATACAGACAAAAAGCAGGCTATCCACGAACACAGGGTGTTGTTATATCACAACTCTGGTGTGTTTCCAGCGATGACTTTGTGTTACTGAAGCTGAAAAAGGAGGCAGCAGGGGAGGGAGCTTTCCTCGTACGTTGGAGTGCTCTGGAC